GGCGTGGAGGGAGTCAAAATGGCCCACTAGAGGGAGGATGGGCAGAGATGAGCTAAGGGTGCTGTTATGCTGGCAGATGTCAAGGGTACCATCAGTCAGTTCTTTGATCCACAGACAGTTGCAGAGGTGCTTGAAGCTGTGGCTCTTTGCTAACATGATACCAGGGGCTCCATGGTTCCCCATATTTTGCTGGAATTAGCCAGCACTTGGGCAGAGCATCCTGCTGTTGACCACTAGGGGATGCTATTGCCTTTGCCTAGCAGGTAGCCCCCAGCAGCCTGCGGAGCTGGAGAGCGCCATGCAGACAAGATGCGGGGAGCTGGCCAGGTGTGGCCCTAGGTCCCCCCTTTCATGCTGCTGGCAGGGAGTCAGCACAGAGATCCCGAGGAGCAGAATGGGAAAACCCAGGGGAGCAATATCCTTCCTGCTGCCCCTGCCAGGTGGGACTGGCAGCGATGCCTCAGCGCAGGAGGCTGCTACAGGGAGAGAAGCTGCTAGGGGCTGCCATGGAGAAGGGAAGCAGAACTGTGAGCCAAAGCCTGGTGTCTGCCAGCTGGTGGGAGAGCAAGGTGGGGCTGCCAGGGGCAGGGGAGGGCCACTGTGAGCACCAGGGAAGCAGCATCCAGAGGAAAGGGGAAATGCAATCACCAGTGCCAGGTTAGTGACACAAAGATGGAGGCGAAATGGACACTCGCAACAGCTTCATTGTTTTTGTTTTGTTTTTTAAAAAGGAGGGGGAGGGCAACGTAGCCTGTGTCCAGCACTGAGTCAAGACAGGCTGCTTTATTCTTCACACAGCACTCCCTAGTGATGACACGTTACAATGCAGCTTCACATCTTCCCTTCCCTTCCCTCCCCCCGCAGCCCATTTTGACAGTTTTAAAAATGATACAACTATTTTTTTAAAAGTAACTTAAAATTTCCACATGTCCACCTGTTCCTTCTCCCTGAATCATACTGTTTAACTACACGGCTAGAATGGGTGACTAGGTTGTCTTTTATTTGCATCAACTCTCCTGGCAGGTTTAGAATAGGTGAATCGTCTTCCCCTGGTTCTGCACCTGCGATTTGTAGAGTTTGCTCAGTTGACTGAACAATTTCTGGAACAAAGGGAAGACGTGAAAGATTTGGGCTGAACGCTCTACTGTCGGTCTCACTAGCATAGCTGAGCAGGGCATTGATGGTTCAATGGTAGAAGTCTCATGCAGGTGTCCTGGGTTTGATTCCTGACCAATGCAGCTGCTCTTTTCTAGGGCCCCCAGCAGTTCTGCTGTGGGTGTGGTTGGCTCCTAGCCTCTTAGAGATGGTCTAAATAATACTTAGTCCTGCCATGAGTACAGGGGATTGGACTAGATGATCTCTTGAGGTCCCTTCTAGTTCTATGATCAGGCCATGCATTCTTTTTCTTTACAACAGCTGGGGTTCTCCATCTTTTTTCCTCCATCCAGTTTAATGCAAATGTGCTCAACTAGATTCAGATCTGGCAATTCTTTGAGAGGAGTTGGTAATGAACGTGTTTATAAGCTTCTTTTGACTGGATTTGGCTACTCTTCTCTGGTCTGGGCACTTTGGGGCTAGATTCTTTTCTATTCTTGGAACAGTTGTCCTGAGTTGCCCTCCTATCGGGAGCTGAGCTGGGCTACAGCTGGTAGCTACTAACGGTGTTGATAATTCCGAAGAGCAAGGAATGGATCTTCCTGCTTCAATATTTTCTTAGCTGTCTGTACTGCCTGCTCAGACCCTCCCTTTCCTTGTGGGTAGTGGAGGCTGCTAGTGATGCACTCAGTATCCTATGTTTCAAATGACTGAAATTCAGTTGTGGTGAGCTGTAGAGTGTTGTCCATCACTAGTGATTCTGGAATACTTAAAGAACACGTTCACCGGTTTCATTTCTCAGTAACACTGCGACATGTTGTGTCTTCCAAATATATTATTTCAATATATCTAGAAACATAATGCACTACAACTAGGCAATGAGGTCCTCTGAATTCACATAGATCCGCTGCTAGCCTCTTCCAGGATCTGTCTGGTAGAGGTGTTATCAGAGGCTCCGTGCATTGTGTTGGTCAGTTAGTTCTGTAGTGTTTACATGAAGGTTCTGCATTCTTCATGCCCCTTTGCTGATTCCAGGCCACCACCCTGACTAACTGGCCTTTATGTGCTTGTAACGGGCTGCACTCACCCCGCACTGGATGGGGAAGGGTTAACTCCTCACTGTGGGCTGAGGAAGCCACGCCCCCATGTCCCTACTGGGCATGCTCCAGGTGCAACAATAGTCTGGAGTGACTGCCAAGGAGGAAGGATGCTCCTTGCTGGGTCCAGTCCGGGAACAGCGGGAATCCCTGATTGCGGAAGCCGGAGATGCCGAGACACAGACAGACGCCCAAGTACATGCGTATGCCCGAGAGGGACCAGAGTCACTGGGAACGGAACATGCAGAGAAACCTGGAGACCCCGATGATGGCTCAATGGCAACTCCAAGGGTATGTCTACACTGTGAAATTACGTCGAATTTATAGAAGTTGATTTTTTAGGAAGCGATTTTATACAGTCGATTGTGTGTGTCCCCACTAAGCGCATTAAGTTGGCAGAGTGTGTCCACAGTACCATGGCTAGCGTTGACTTTCAGAGCATTGCACTGTGGGTAGCTATCCCACAGTTCCTGCAGTCTCCGCCACCCATTGGAATTCTGGGTTAAGCTCCCAATGCCTGATGGGGCAAAAACATTGTCACGGGTGGTTTTGGGTACATGTCATCAGTCGCCCCCTCCCTCTGCAAAAGCAACGGCAGACACTCGTTTCACGCCTTTTTTCCGTGCGGGCGCCATACTGTTTTCAGCAGACGGTGCAGTAGGACTGCTACCATTGTCATCAAATCACCGCTTCTGCTGCAACTCTGCTCTCCTGCCCTTGTCTTGATAGCAAATTTCTCCATGTTGGCTGTCATGGGCTCCCGCTTCCGCTGCAACTCTGCTCTCCTACGGACGCCATACCATGGCAAGCGTGCAGCCCGCTCAGCTCACCGACACCACTGCTGTTGTGTCCTGGTGCTGCTGGCAGCAGATGGTGCAGTAGGCCTGCTAACCATCATCCACCACTTCCGCTGAAACTCTGCTCTCCTGCAGATGCCATACCATGGCAAGCATGGAGCCCGCTCAGATCACTGCGGCAGTTATGAACATTGTAAACACCTCGCACATTATCCTGCAGTATGTTCAGAACCAGACCCTGAAAAGGCAGGTGAGGAGGCGATGGCAGCGCGGTGACGAGAGTGATGAGGACATGGACACAGACTTCTCTCAAAATATGGGCCCTGGCAATTTGGACATCCTGGTGGCAATGGGGAAGGCTCATGCCATGGAACGCTGATTCTGGGCCCAGGGAACAAGCACAGACTGGTGGGACCGCATAGTGTTGCAGGTCTGGGATGATTCCCAGTGGCTGCAAAACTTTTGCATGTGTAAGGGCACTTTCATGGAACTTTGACTTGCTTTCCCCTGCCCTGAAGTGCAAGAATACCAAGATGAGAGCAGTCCTCACAGTTCACAAGTGAGTGACGATAGCCCTGTGGAAGCTTGCAACGCCAGACAGCTACTGATCAGTCGGGAATCAATTTGGAGTGGGCAAATCTACTGTGGGGGCTGCTGTGATCCAAGTAGCCAATGCAGTCACTGAGCTGCTGCTATCAAAGGTAGTGACTCTGGGAAATGTGCAGGTCACAGTGGATGGCTTTGCTGCAATGGGATTCCGTAACTGTGGTGGGGCGATAGGGATATGCATTTTGTCTATCTTGGGATCAGACCACCTTGGCAGCCAGTATATAAACTGAAAGGGGTACTTTTCAATGGTGCTGCAAGCGTTGGTGGATTAAAAGGGACATTTCACCAACATCAACATGGGATGGCCGGAAAAGGTGCTTGATGCTTGCATCTTCAGGAACTCTGGTCTGTTTGAACAGCTGCAGGAAGGGACTTACTTTCCAGACCAGAAAATAACTGTTGGGGATGTTGAAAAGCCTATAGTTATCCTTGGGGACCTAGCCCACCCCTTGATGCCATGGCTCATGAAGCCATACACAGGCACCCTGGACAGTAGTCAGGAGCTGTTCAACTATAGGCTGAGCAGGTGCAGAATGGTGGTAGAATGTGCATTTGGACATTTAAAAGCACGCTGGCGCAGTTTACTGACTCGGTTAAACCTCAGCGAAACCAATATTCCCATTGTTATTGCTGCTTGCTGTGTGCTCCACAATATCTGTGAGAGTAAGGGGGAGACATTTATGGTGGGGTGGGAGGTTGAGGCAAATCGCCTGGCCACTGATTACGCACAGCCCGACACCAGGGCAATTAGAAGAGCACTGCATGGCACGCTGCGCATCAGAGAAGCTTTGAAAACCAGTTTCATGACTGGCTAGACTATGGTGTGACAGTTCTGTTTGTTTCTCCTTGATGAAGAGCTGCCCCCTTGGTTCACTCTACTTCCCTGTAAGCCAACCGACCTCCCTGCTTCGATCACCACTTGCAGAGGCAATAAAGTCATTGTTGTTTCAAAATCATGCATTCTTTATTAATTCGTCACACAAATAGGGGGATAACTGCCAAAGTAGCCCGAGAAGGGTGGCGGAGGACGGAAGCACGGGTGGGGTGGTGGATGAGGGAAGGACAAGGCCACACTGCACTTCAAAACTTATTGAATGCCAGCCTTCTGGTGCTTGGGCAGCCCTCTGGGGTGGAGTGGTTGGGTGCCTGGAGTGCCCCCCCCCCGCGTTCTTGGGGGTCTGGGTGAGGAGGCTATGGAACTTGGGGAGGAGGGCGGTTGGTTACACAGGGGCTGCAGCAGCAGTCTGTGCTCCTGCTGCCTTTCCTGCAGCTCAACCATACGCCGGAGCATATCAGTTTGATCCTCCAGTAGCCTCAGCATTGCATCCTGCCTCCTCTCATCACACTGCCGCCACCTATCATCTTGATACTGCCACCTCTCCTCTTGCTCCCGCCTCCTGTCCTCGCGTTCATTTTGTGCTTTCCTGGACTCTGACATTGTTTGCCTCCACCTATTCTGCTGAGCTCTTTCAGTGCAGGAGGACTGCATGAGCTCAGAGAACATTTCATTGCAAGTGTGGTTTTTTTCGCCTTCTTATCTGCACTAGCCACTGGGATGGAGATGATAGGGGGAGCGTTGAAACATTTGCAGCTGCGGGAGGGAAAAAAAGGGAGAGTAGTATTTGAAAAGATACATTTTTAGAGAACAAGGGGTAGACTCTTTCATGGTGAACCAAGCTGTTAACATTATATAGCACTTGCTTTTGGTACAGGGTCACTCCCCCTCCCCCATTCTCTGGGATCATCGCTTCACCCCTCCCCTCACTGTGTGGCTAACAGCGGGGATGATTTCTTTTCAGCCACAGGCAAACAGCCCAGCAGGAACGGCCACCTCTGAATGTCCCCTTTATAAAATTCCCCTATTTCAACCAGGTGACCACGAATGATATCACTCTCCTGAGGATAACACAGAGAGATAAAGAACGGATGTTGCTTGAATGCCAGCAAACACAGGGACCATACGCTGCCATGCTTTGTTATACAATGACTCCAGACTATGTGCTACTGGCCTGGCATGGTAAAGCGTCCTACCATGGAGGACGCAATAAGGCTGAACTCCCCAGAAACCTTTTGCAAAGGCTTTGGGAGTACCTCCAGGAGAGCTTCATTGAGATGTCCCTGGAGTATTTCTGCTCCATCCCCAGACACGTTAACAGACTTTTCCAGTAGCTGTACTGGCTGCGAATGCATCCCAAGTCTTCAGGGCAAATTAATCATTAAACACGTTTGCTTTTAAACCATGTATTATATTTACAAACGTACACTCACCAGAGGTGCCTTCTCTGCCTTCAAGGTCTGGGAGCATGCCTTGGGAGGATTGGGAGGGTATTGGCTCCAGGGTGATAAACAGTTTCTGGCTGTCGGGGAGAACGGTTTCATTCTCGTCCTCCTCCTCATCTTCCTTGTTCCCAAAATCCTCATCCCTGTTGCATGAGATTCCCCCCTTGCAGGTGTCCACGTACAGGGGTGGGGTAGTGGCAGGGGCACCCCCTAGAATTGCATGCAGCTCATCATAGAAGCGGCATGTCTGGGGCTCTGACCCGGAGTGGCCATTTGCCTCATTGGTTTTTTGGTAGGCTTGCCTGAGCATCTTAATTTTCATGTGGTACTGCTGCGGGCCCCTGTTATAGCCTCTGTCCATCATGCCCTTGGAGATTTTTTTTTCAAATATTTTGGCATTTCGTCTTTTGGAATGGAATTCTGATAGCACGGATTCGTCTCCCCATACAGCGATCAGATCCAGTACCTCCCATTCGGTCCATGCTGGAGCTCTTTTGCAATTCTGGGACTGCATGGTCACCTGTGCTGAAGAGCTCTGTATTGGTCACCTCTGTTGATGACCTCACCACGCTGGCCAAACAGGAAATGAAATTCAAAAGTTCCTGGTGCTTCTCCTGTGTACCTGGCTAGTGCATCTGAGTTGAAAGTGCTGTCCAGAGTGGTCACAATGGAGCACTCTGGGATAGCTCCCGTAGGCCAATACCGCCGAATTGCATCCATACAACCCCAAATTTGACCCAGCAATGATTTCAGCACTAATCCCCTCGTTGGGGAGGAGTACAGAAATTGATTTTAAGAGCCCTTTAAGTCGACAAAAATGGCTTAGTCGTGTGGACTGGTACAGGGTTAAATTGATCTAACGCTGCTAAATTCGACCTAAACTCGTAGTATAGACCAGGGCCAAGAGACATGGTCGGAAGCGGCCCGGGGAGACTAGTTATAGTCCTGCAAGAAGCTAGAATGTTTCAGTTTGAGCCGCACTGACTCAGTAGTGGCACACACTGCCATTGATAAGGCCTGGGCCAGGATCTGGTGGAGCAGGGAGGGCCTGGGTCCCCCTACCCCTGCCATCACTCACTCCTAGGTGGCGGCCCACTTCCCCTATTGGCCACTGGGCTGCTCATCCCCGAGAGTGGGGGCAGCCATATTGGTTCTGACCGCTAGGCCTTATAGCTCTGGGAGGAGAGACAACTCCATTGGCTCTGACCATTAGTCATTACAGTCTTGAGGCCAAGGACAGTCCAGTGGACTTATTCACGGGGTGCATTCACCCCACACTGGACAGGCTACCCCCACCCTGTCACAGTGCTTCATGGATGAGGTCTAGAATTTCTCCTCTCAAAGAGCTTGGGATGACAATGTGATCCCCTTTAATCGCTAATCTACTGGACTTGCGTAATTGCCTGTGTCTAGCAAAAGTCTCTTGCCATGGCCACAGTGTTCTTTAGGTACTTGGGCCATCCTGCCCAAATGTAACTAAAAACTTCTTGAAGTTGCTTATCTGCCCAGGTTGTTTTTTGTAGTGGGTATAGTCGCCTACCTGACGCTGGCGTGTAAGTTTTCACCTCATCCATGTAAGCCTTTACATCTTCCTCTAGCCCATCAGCATTTGAATGTGATGCTGGGCTCTACAACAGTGTGTCAGCACCTAGGAATGTATTCAGTGATTGGGTTAAGTTGCATTAGCCCAATCAAAAGATGCTGGCATCTTAGCAATGTTTGATCCAGGTATTTCCCGTTGATAAGGGTTACAAGAGGTTTATGGGTTGGCCATCAGTTTAAAGGAACCCAGCTCACACAGATATCTGTAGAAGTTCTCCCATGCCCATAGACTTGCCAGGCATTCCTTGCGTTCATGCCTAAGGATGTGCTGATCATGAGCTGCCAGCCATGAAATGTTGAGGATTGTGAGGAAGTGTGGTGAGTGAATCATGCGAAATGAAAGACATCCTGACGTTCCAGAATGGCAACTTCCAGAGGTATTGTTTATTGTGTCACAGGTCAGGATGAAAGGAGTGAGCCATCCATAGTTTCCACTAGATCAGGGACTGTCTTCAGTTGTACTGGAATACCCAAGACTTGGGCAGCATCAGCATCTGTCAAGTTGTCTACTGCCCCGGAATTCACCAGTGCCCACTGTGGGGAATTCAGTATGGCTCCCCTCGGGTATGGAGGCAGACCCAAACTCTGAGGTGCAGGAAGTGCTCACCATGCCTGGAGCATGTCTTGGTGAGGAGTGGGGGCATTACCTCGGGGCTTTCCCAGGCCGACCCCCTCAACCAGGCCTGGGTGTGATCATTTCCTGAACTGGGCTGTGCTAAAGATTGTGATGGGCAGTTGGTGCGAGTGTGGCTGGATCCTCCACAGTAGAAACACAGGCTGTGGTGGCAGTGTTGCTTTTTCCTCAGAGGTGACACGGCTGTGAATGGTATCAGGCTGCAGGAATGTGGGTCCCAGGTCCGAGACAGGTACCAAGGGGAGCTGGTCAGGTGGTGGCCTAGACCCCTTCCTTTCCTCACGTTGCTCTTGGAGCCTATTGTTGATATCATAGAATCATAGAATATCAGGGTTGGAAGGGACCCCAGAAGGTCATCTAGTCCAACCCCCCCTGCTCAAAGCAGGACCAATTCCCAGTTAAATCATCCCAGCCAGGGCTTTGTCAAGCCTGACCTTAAAAACCTCTAAGGAAGGAGATTCTACCACCTCCCTAGGTAACGCATTCCAGTGTTTCACCACCCTCTTAGTGAAAAAGTTTTTCCTAATATCCAATCTAAACCTCCCCCACTGCAACTTGAGACCATTGCTCCTCGTTCTGTCATCTGCTACAATTGAGAACAGTCTAGAGCCATCCTCTTTGGAACCCCCTTTCAGGTAGTTGAAAGCAGCTATCAAATCCCCCCTCATTCTTCTCTTCTGCAGGCTAAACAATCCCAGCTCCCTCAGCCTCTCCTCATAACTCATGTGTTCCAGTCCCCTAATCATTTTTGTTGCCCTTCGCTGGACTCTCTCCAATTTATCCACATCCTTCTTGAAGTGTGGGGCCCAAAACTGGACACAGTACTCCAGATGAGGCCTCACCAATGTCCAATAGAGGGGAACGATCACGTCCCTCGATCTGCTCGCTATGCCCCTACTTATACATCCCAAAATGCCATTGGCCTTCTTGGCAACAAGGGCACACTGCTGACTCATATCCAGCTTCTCGTCCACTGTCACCCCTAGGTCCTTTTCCGCAGAACTGCTGCCTAGCCATTCGGTCCCTAGTCTGTAGCTGTGCATTGGGTTCTTCCGTCCTAAGTGCAGGACCCTGCACTTATCCTTATTGAACCTCATCAGATTTCTTTTGGCCCAATCCTCCAATTTATCTAGGTCCCTCTGTATCCTATCCCTCCCCTCCAGCGTATCTACCACTCCTCCCAGTTTAGTATCATCCGCAAATTTGCTGAGAGTGCAATCCACACCATCCTCCAGATCGTTTATGAAGATATTGAACAAAACCGGCCCCAGGACCGACCCTTGGGGTACTCCACTTGATACCGGCTGCCAACTAGATATGGAGCCATTGATCACTACCCGTTGAGCCCAACAATCTAGCCAGCTTTCTACCCACCTTGTAATGCATTCATCCAGCCCATACTTCCTTAACTTGCTGACAAGAATACTGTGGGAGACCGTGTCAAAAGCATGACAAGATTGACATATGTATGACAAGATTGACAAAGGTGTCTATGTCGGTCAGGGCCTCCAAATGAGCTCGCTCATCCTTAATCTCCAAGCATAGTCCCCCCAGAACTGGTAGAGCTGGGCCGCTTTGTTCCACTCTGTGGAAGAGACTCGTCACTGAACACACGCCGCACAGGAGGAGGCTGGTCCCTGCCCTTGACAGAGCGGGCTCTGTGGGGATCGTTGAGCACAAAACGCCTGGAGGAAGGCATTCTGTTCAGTTAGCATCAGGCTGCCTCATTCAAGCAGGAGAGAGGTCCAGTCCAATGCATCTCTCCTCTTTAATGAGTCCTATTTTGGTGTGGTAGGACTAGGGAGATGGAGCAGAAACTGCAGGCAGCATTGGTTAAGAAACCCCCTGAATTTTTGGTGATCCCCATTAAAACATTCTGGGAGGGGGACTGGTGGCCCCAGGTCTGCATGCATAGCCGCAGTGTATGTCTGGAGTGCAGTGTTCTTATTCCGTAGCTGGGTCACCTGCTCTCATGGCAGTGGGTTATCTGCGGCGTGCTGTTCCAGTTGGGCCCACAGAGCCACGTTTTCCTCACAGAGCTGGGCGGATTGCCTGTGCAGTGCTTGGTTCTCTGTTGCAAGCTGCAATACTGGGGCTCGCAGCATGAGGCGCTCCTCCTGGGGCTGGTCAGCCCCTTCCGGCATCTCCAGTATCGTCTGGGGCATGCTGAGTAGGAAGTCGCCCATTGCCTCCATGTTCCCACAGGGTAGATCTTCACCCTGGGCTAAGGTGGTCCAGGCAAACTGTCAGAATCCTGACAAGAGCAGAGTCAAGCCTGAGGCTGAGCAAAGTGGAGCAGAGTTTGTCATCAAGTTCCAGGCAGGGATTGATCTTGAGGATCAGAGATCGAGTTGGGTTTCAAGTGCCAGGTCAGGAGGCGCGGTCCAAATCAAGCTGAGGTTGAAGAGCAGGAATGGCCAGGCACCTACAGAAGATCCATCCTGTTACCTAGACACTTCTTGGCAGGGGTTGGCCATGTTGCGCGATGGACACTTGACAAAATTACTGTGCTTAGTGACGGACATTGCGGGTGGTGGGTTATGCCATTTGGTCATTTAACATTTCTTGAAAAATTACCCCAGACCTCTAAATTTTTACCACAAACACTTGTGTCTGTGTACGGACACGTTGCTGACCCCTGCTTCCTGGAACACCACTTGGGTTTATGTAGGGCAAGGAGCCATGAGGCTACTGCCTCTCAGACCACTTGCAGCGGGACTCCTTGGGGTCTGCAGTGGTGCTGTAGGTTGTATGTAGCAAGCATAAGCTGGCAGCCGCTGCTGGTTGGCAGCCTGGAGGTGTCTTCTGCCTGGCAGCTCTGCAGGTCTGGGTTTGAAATCTACTGAGCTTTATAGTTAATAGGTCAAACCCTTAGAAGGAAGGGATTGTATTTTTTCACTGTGTTAACTGGTGCTCTGCAAGTCCATACAAAATGCAACGTCTTTCCTTAGCCAGCAGGAGAGGGAGTGGAGGCATTCAGGATTTACAGACCCGGCAGAGTCTGCAGGGCAAGACTTTGCTGCTTTGACCGCAGAAGAGTCTCTTGTTCAGTATATATGTAATCAGGGTTTGAATGAGCTCTCCCCTGACATCTAGTGATGAACGAAGGGGAAAGACCTCGGGAGTAGACTGTTTGCATAGCCACAGCCACTCTGCCTAGGTGACCAGCAGACAGACCTGCTTTCCTGTAAGTGATCAATTTTGGCTGTTTTGGGTTAAAATTTACTTTAGTATTGAACGCAGGGGTAATAAATGTTCTTCTTGTATGAATAAAAGGCAGCAGAAGTATCCTTAGCATGCCCTTATTGAGAGGTCACCATAACTTTAACAAAAAGAAAAGGAGTACTTGTGGCACCTTAGAGACTAACCAATTTATTTGAGCATGAGCTTTCGTGAGCTAGCTGTAGCTCACGAAAGCTCATGCTCAAATAAATTGGTTAGTCTCTAAGGTGCCACAAGTACTTCTTTTCTTTTTGCGAATACAGACTAACACGGCTGTTACTCTGAAACATAACTTTAACCTCATTGATCACGAATTCTGAAATCACTGATTTAGGGGTTGAGCCTTTGACATGGTACAGAGACCGGGTTTCAGTAAAAAGATGAGGCAGTTACAGCAATGGCCAGCAGCAGTGACAGTGACAAGCAGTGGCAGAGGCCGCAGTGACAGCGGGGAGCAGAGGCAAAGGAGTCACTCGGCCACCCCCACCCCCTCAGGGACTGGAGAAGGACCCAGCCTTGGACTCTGGGACATTGCTGGCCTCAGACACCAAACTGTGAGTGTGGTACAGCAGAAAGAAAGGGGAATGGTATGTTAGAGACTTTCGTCCCTTGGACTTTCACACCTCAAGGTGGGAAACTGAGCACAAGGGCATTGCACAAGATACTCTGGGGCAGCTGTGTTACTTATTGTTTGTGTAATTTCAACTCATTGTTGCAGTGTTCCCCAAATTCATGCTGTGGTTTCGTCTCATGATAAAAGTTTTCTTTCGTTGTACATGGACTCAGTGTTTGTAGTGGGGGAAGTACTGCCCCCTAGAGATGGGGTTGGGGGAGTGTAGGTGCAGGGGCTCAAGCCAGGTTTGTTTTGTAACGTTAAGAGGAGCCCCTGGATATTGAACCAGGCCCTTTTTACTGCCGATTCCACCTGGCAGATGGGTTCCATATGTAATTGCCATGCTTATGGGGCAAGTTGACCTTTTGGTCCTTTCTGCTCTCTGAATGCACCCACTTCAGATGTTCGGCTTCTTGCCGTTCCCTATCTCAGTGGGGAATCACATGACACTTCAGCTCTCAGACTGGACCCTGGTATGCTACCCCGTATATACCAACTGCTTCTCACTCTGCAGGCCTGGCTGAGTCGAGGGCAGCTGTGCTTTCTCCCTTCAGGATCCAGGGACAGTGACCAACAACCTCCTTCCAACAAAGGGTTTTTATTTAGAAGTTGGAACAAAGCATCAGAGAAAAATGGGTTTTAAAACAACCAACTCCTACCATGCACATTTTGTCTCTGCTTCACTGCAAGCTAAGTCAGACTAGCTTCCCTTTGATGTCACAGGGACAGACTAGCACCAGTTTCTATTCTCCTAGCCAGCCCCTGAGCTGCCTGTGGGCTTGTTTGACTCTGTCTGCCTCTCGATCTGACACACCCTCTTCAAACTGAATTTCGGGGCTCCCCAAGATGAAAGGATTACAGCCATGGGCAGCGGGTATCCTAGGCCAGGGCAGGCTAAGCCTCCCCTGACCTGGGGTGTGGCCCCGCCCATGTTGAGCCCCAAGGCCCTGCCCTTCCTCCCCCTCTACTTGAAGGCCTGGCAGCGGCATGGGGCTGCGCTGGGTGGGGTGAGTGGCGGGTTGGGGCAGGCGGGCTGGGGCTCCTTCTGCTGCAGGGGCTCCTCAGGTGGGCGCTCAGGGCTCTGGCAGGTGAGGGGGGTTCACCCACCGCCGACAGCTAGAGCCAGCATTATCCCTAACAACCCTTATGTGTTAGCTGCTAGGTGACTATTGGAAAGGGCCTCCTCCCTCTTTCCCTAGATGGGTAGATCCAGACACTGTATTAACGAGCCCCCCCAGTAATACTCCTCCGTGCCTGCAGGGCTGCTGTACATTTCATGCCGTACGTTCTCCTTTGACTCGGGTAACAACAGCATGGAAGCGGAGCCAACCAGGAGTGTTTTCCAAACAGCTGTTGTATCGCCCCCATCACTTGTCTTTCCTCCGTCTGCACCACTCTGCATTGCTCCATCCCGGGCTCTGGCCTAGGCCTGCACAGATCACTGCGGGAGTATGAATGCATCACAATTCACAGCTCCTTAGTCGGCTTCCCTCTTGCTTTTCCTCTTGTAATTTGTCTGCACACCACGGGATGACCCGTGTGGGTGGGGAAGTGGGAGGAGTTCTGCTGCAAGGCTGTGAACATGGAGGGGTCCATAAGTATCAGGAAGTGTCAATAGCTTCTCTCCAGGCCCCTGGGTGAGGGTTCACTTTCTCCCTTTTGTTTCATGTTCATTTCCTCTCCCCAGTATTTTATCCGGCCTTCATGTCTGAGGTCTGTTTTTCCTTCTTACATTTCCTTTTACCCTTTCTCTCCACTTCTGTTTACAGCACGCTTATGCTGGGGTTCAAACGAAGGAAGGGCCGCCTCATTGTGACACTGGGACTCAACATAAACCAAACCACATGTTTACAGCATCGGCTGTGATTCTCAGCCTTGTGTGCACACTGACGACATGCTGTTCTGTGGAAGTGGGGCAAGGCAGACTGGAGCCATTGTTGTATCGTTTGGGTGTGAGAATGAGGAAGTCTCTGAAGAGAGGCTGAGGGAGTGTGGTCTCCATAGATATAATCCACCTTTTTTTATAAAACCGCAAAAGCATTTTCAACTTCCCTGCCCATTCAGCACACGCAGCATGTTGGAACTGCTTATGTCTTCTAGGCAAGAAGACAGAAACAGTGACACTGCAGACAGCAGCCTGGAAAACTCCGAGTAAAATGATTAAAAGCCCCAGATATTTGTTCGTTTGTGAACAAAACTGTTGAAAAAAGGAAGCAGAAGTACTAGAAAAGGAAACAACTTTGCATTTACCTCAATCACTCTATAATCATCCTCCCTGCATAGAGCTCAGTCCAGATGGTTAGGTCTGAGCCCCTATCACAACCCAACTAAGAAGGAATTACGTGGGTTTCTAAAAATCATATTACGTTTGCCCAGCACTAATGTGACCAGGGTCAAGTTGTGATACACAATGTGGTGTCCCCCAGAGGCCAGAATGGAGTTTGGGACAATTGGTGAATATTGTGCAGGAGTGCGTTAGGGGTGTGACACTGCTCTCCTTTTTGCAGCCTGCTCTGACCTTGGCATTTTCAGTGTGGGTTATCCTAGGCACCTTGGGTCACAAGTGGTATTACCTCTTTGTAAGCATTGATGAGACCATTACTGGAAGAGATTAATAGATGTTAAGACCAAAAGGGATAATTGTCTAGTCTTTCTGCCTGCATAACACATCCAATGAAGTGAGCTGTAGCTCACGAAAGCTTATGCTCAAATAAATTGGTTAGTCTCTAAGGTGCCACAAGTCCTCCTTTTCTTTTTGTATGGAATATAGGTGACCATTTATATGATTGATATTAATATTACAAAATTGCAATGAATCTTACAAGATATGCCATGGAAGTGGAAAAGTTATGATTTGCTAAGTATGATAATCTTGTTTATATATAATATGTATCATCTTTGTATTGCGAGTTATAAATATGTATGATATATCTCAGGTTTCAGAGGAACAGCCGTGTTAGTCTGTATTCGCAAAAAGAAAAGGAGTACTTGTGGCACCTTAGAGACTAACCAATTTATTTGAGCATGAGCTTTCGTGAGCCACAGCTCACTTCATCAGATGTTTACCGTGGAAACTGCAGCAGACTTTATATACACACATCTGTATCTCAAACCTGTGCTGTGTTTCTTGGTGACACAGTCAGGCAGATTGGCATCAGCACTATCCAGACTGCTTAATGGCCCATCAAGGGCAATCAGCTGTACAATGAACCCATTGAGAGAAGCTAGGGGCTATGCCTGTGAGTCAGCAGGACAGGTAGAGACATGCCTGTGGACAGGGGACTCCAAGAACTTTTCCATGCCCATGCGCTTTGAGTTTGTATTTGGGATAAAGGAAATACAAGTCACATGGAAAAGGATATAAAAAAGGTAGCTGCATCGTCTCCATTTTTCTTTAGCTCTGCTTCTCTCACCTTTGGAGTAACTTCTCTACAAACTGAAGTTTTGGACAAAGGATTGATAGACCCATCCAAGCTGTGGATGTATTCCAGAGGGACTTTACAAGCCAGCAAACTCACCAATGCTGCTAAGAACTTGATATATGGACTCTGAAGTCATATGTACGTATCTGATTGCTTTGACCATTTAACAACTCTCTTCTCTTTCTTTTATAATAAAAGCTTTAGTTTTTAGATATTAATGGATTGGCTGGCAGCATGGTATTTTTGTTAAGATCCAAACTAGTATTGATCTGGTAATGTGGTTGGCCCTTTGGGGAACAGAAGAACATTTTCTAAAGTGAATAGAGTTTTAAATAACTTCTCACTTTACTGGACCTATTTGTTGATTGGGAGCCAGAGACTGGGATGCAATAAAGGGGGCTGTGTGATTTCTTTTTTTTTCAACTTCTTGATAACCAGTGTGAGGGGACCAGGAGCAGTTTGTGACTGGTGGGTGAATCTAACTACAGTGTTAACCACCAGTTTTTGGGAGAATCTGCTCTTCTTTTTGCAGCCTGCTCTGACCTTGGCATTTTCAGTGTGGGGTATCCTAGGCATCTTGGGTCACAAGTGGTATTACCTCTTTGTAAGCATTGATGAGACCACTACTGGAAGAGATTAATAGATGTTAAGACCAAAAGGGATAATTGTCTAGTCTCTCTGTCTGCATAACACAAGCCAGAGAAGCTCGCCCAGCAATTCCTGCATTGAGTCCATACATTTTGGTTGAGCTAGAGCAGTGTTTCTCAATCTTTTTGATACCACAGATAGGCTTGCTGCCGTCCTAAACAGTGTCAGGGAGAGCTCAGGGACTGAGCTAGAGCATATCTTTTAGAAAGACAGACAATCTTGATTTAAAAATTCCAAGGAATGGAAAATCCACCATCTTACAGAGAGGAACCACGAAGGTTGTTATAGTGCAAGGAGCTGTAATTTGGAAAGCAGCGATTCACAAAAGGTTGTTAGAGATCATGTTGCAAATGAACTCAGTATGAGCTCACAGTGCAGTGGGGAGTTTAAGACCCCAAAATGCTATTCTTTAGCTGAACAAGCAGAGCACTAGTGAGCGGCAGTAGCCCAGAGGTGCTATAGATGCCCCTAAACAGCATTAATGGAGACTCTTACTGGGTACTCTGTCCAGTTCTATTGGCCCCACTTCAAAAATAATGTTGATAAGTTGGAAAGAGTTTAGAGAAGGGCCCCAAGAATAATCAAGGTCTGGAAAACCCGCCTGGCTAAAGGATTCTGGTCTGTTTAGCTTGTCAGAAAGAAGGTTAAGAGGTGACTTGATCACAGCGTAGGTACCTGGTTTTGGTTACAGGGCTAGCTGCACTTCTGCCTCTTTTCTTGTCTCTGGTGTTCAGTCTCTGGCCCTTGCTGATCTCAGGGTGAAATCAAATGATTCTTCCACCTTAGACTAGGCCAGGGTCTAGTTACACTACCCTGCGTGTTCCAGTTGTCAGTGCCCTGGAGGGCCGACTGATGACCTGCATTTCTTTCCTTCAGGACCCTGGGAATAGTGACAAGCAGCAAATGGAACAAAATACCAGAAGGAAAAAAGACAAAACAGTCAAAGAAACAAACAAACAAAAAAGAGCCTATATGTGTCTATCTTAGCTAAAGTCCTACTTTGCAACCTACAGTTTCCACGGTATACATCTGATGAAGTGAGCTGTAGCTCACGAAAGCTCATGCTCAAATAAATTGGTTAGTCTCTAAGGTGCCACAAGTACTCCTTTTCTTTTTACAGAAACTTAGATTCTCCAGACACTATCAGTGGTTCCTGTGTTTTAGGGCATATCTACATGATTAAATGCTTTGGACATTGGGGAATGCCAGGGGTGTTAATTGGCCAATTACTGTAATTCACAGACAGTTATCACACCTGGATTTCCCCTCTCCTGCCCCGCCCCTGCCCGAAGTATTTGATGGTGTGTATGCTGCCACTGTGAACTGAGATCAGGTTAACTAGTCCTCTAAAAACCAGGAACACAACAATCCACACGGCCAAGAACTGGATGCGCTTCAGCTGATAGCCTGAGAGGCACTATTCCTTGTGGATGCTGATAAGTGCGCCAACCCACAGCATGAATCATTTACTAGACCTGGCTGTTAAGGAACAAAAAGAAAAGGGGTACTTGTGGCACCTTAGAGACTAACCAATTTATTTGAGCATGAGCTTTTGTGAGCTACAGCTCACTTCATCAGATGCATACCGTGGAAACTGCAGCAGACTTTATATATACACAGAGAATATGAAACAATACCTCCTCCCACCCCACTGTCCTGCTGGTAATAGCTTATCTAAAGTGATCATCAGGTGGGCCATTTCCAGCACAAATCCAGGTTTTCTCACCCTCCACCCCTTTTCTTTTTGCGAATACAGACTAACACGGCTGTTCCTCTGAAACCTGTTAAGGAACAGTTGTAGATACCATAGATGGTGTCTTAAAACAGTTACTTAAAAGATGATAAAAAAAGTCCCTAGCTTGGCCAGCTGGGGGCAGTCCAATAGATGGTCTCCTCAGGCCTAGTACCTGAGGCACCATTTCTAATTCATTCCTGGATATCTGAGAGGTAGCTCTCCCTGGCCAGGGCTCAGCCCCACAGTCTGTGGCTCATCGTGGACCCTCCTGGCTGCTGTACAGAGACTGTTGCAGGCTGATTTCCCTTGGGGAAGATCAGGCTGTGAACTCCCATGCCCTACAGTCACCCCCTTTAGAGCACTTCTTACAGAGAGGAACCACGAAGGTAGGTCACACTTATAGTGCCCTTTCCTTTGAGCTAAATACACAGTCAGATCCCGTGGGCACCTTTCCTGTCTCTGGGCTCCTGGGTTGCCACATCTCGTTGTCAGTTGTGCCCTGGGAGGGCTGCTGGATCTGTGCTCCTCAGGGCACGTATTCAGAGAGTGTGTGTGTCTGAAGGCAGCACTGGCCACACCGGGACCGCAGGGAGATGTGTGTCCCAGCCAGTCACGGAGGGGAAGTGGGCTGTCTTGTACACTTCCTGCATCCTCTCCAAAGGCTTCTTTCTGTCTATGAGGCATTGCATTGCCCCCCTCACTAGGGCACCGAGGAAGCCCTCGAGGCAGCGAGGGACAGAAACTGACTCCAATGGCACCCCATGGTCCTTGGGAAGGATGCAGTGGGCCACATGCCCAGAATGGTGGAGACCCTGGCAGGGCATGGCTAATGCGTCATCATTTCCAGGTTCCTATTCAGCTTATCATACAGCTCCCCCAGGGTTCTGGGATGAGCCCCTGCCGCTGGCTGATCTGCACCTCAGTGAGGCCAAGGGAGCTCTTCCTTGTCTCCTAGTTTTGTTTGGAAAGTATCGGCCTGTCCTTTGTCTTGGAGCCAGGGGCAGCCTCACCCTCCTCGTCCTCTCCCTCGGTTACTTTGTGCGCTGTCCCCATGGCATGTGGGGTGGGGTGCTGCAGTGCACGGCTGGGACACTTCCCATCAGGAGCTGCAAAACCCTGGATGCGTTCTCGCCCTCCCCCCCGGTCCTGCGCTCCCTCTCACTGCCCAGCTGATCCTTTCTCCCTCGGTCTCCTCCCCCAAGTGCAGAGCGGGGTTCCCGAGCGTGTGATGTGCAGAGTAGCCATGGTGTGACTGGTGCCTGGATACCCTAACTTCCCCCCTCTGGTTGTGCTGTGCCTGTGAATCAGAGACACCTGCGGCATGGGGGGAGCCTCCGCACTGCTGATTGTGCCAGTGGAGTGCCCAGCCCCCACACTCAGGGTACTTAGGAACAGCCCCTGCAGAAGCAGGCAGAACACCATCTGCCAATGGCCTGGGGCCCTCGACCAAAGCGAACCCCTGCAATCAAAGAGGAAGCCAGCGATGTTCCTGGAGAACTGATGTTAATATGTCCCCTGGGGCTGAGTCCTGCTAACAGGCAGGTAGCCACATTCTGCGTGAGCTCTAGCTTCCTGACTAGGACAAACAGTGCAAGGGGCCATTCGTGCAGTGAGGCGAGCAGCAAGCTCAGTGCGAGGGGCAGATGATGGGGTGAGGAGACCAAGGCTGGGGCTGTTCCCGAGAGCCAGGCAGCCCTGGGACAGCCCGGCTGGCTGGTGCATTTATATTTAGAGCAGACTGCACCTTGAGAGGCCAAACTTTGAATTGGGTGCAGTTTAGTGCAGTCCCAGGGCAGCCTGGCCCCTATATGTCTGCAGAGAACAGGATGTGGCCAGAGGTGCAGGCACCCGTGAGCTCTCTCTTCGGGGGAATACATTGTGTTAAAATGCTGCAGAGTAAATTGCAGCAGAAGCACCAGGGAGCAGAGCAGGGCCAGATACTGCACCTTGTCCCCTTTCCCCAGCACAGCACAGGCTGGAGGTGCTTTTCCAGGAACTGGTCAGTGGAGATTTTTGTTTATGCATGATTTGCATTCTTTGCCTGGCTGTCTAGCGCTCCAGGAAGGGCAGGGGGACTTTATCTCACGCCCTCAGCAGAGCGCTGTGCGGAGTAGTGGTTTCCTCTTCCCTGATGACTGAGCTCAGTGCTGTTCTGGTGTCACCCAGCTCGGGGACCCTGCTCTGTGGAGCCAAGGAACCGAGGACTTGAAGACATGCAGCTCGTCGGGACGCACTGAGGTGAGACCTACGGCAGGGTTAGTTTGGGGGCAGGTAGAGACTGTAGCTTCCAACCTCTGTCCTCCAAGGCCCCTCCAGAGAAAACTACCCTGAAAATTAGAGAGAGGAGCTTTAAACAGAGGAGGAGGGACAGGGGCCACACAGAGAGGAAGAGGTGAAGGATTCCCCCGCTTCCCCATCCCAGCTGCTGAGGGAGGAAGGAGAAAGGAGGAAGTGCACTTTTCTCCCTTCCCCCTTGCTCTGAGCAGCTGGACAGGCTGATACACGAGTCCCTCAGAGCTGCCTTGAGCTTGAGATAAAATTTAAAAGGGTGATACTGCAAGTAAAGATGGAGCCCTGCTCTGCCATCCCCAGCCACGGCACTGGGCCCCGGGCCCCGCTCCACTGCCCCTGCCTGAAACACAGGGCCCTGGGCCCCGCCATCCCCAGCCACGGCACAGAGCCCCAGGCCCCGCCATCCCCAGCCACGGCACAGAGCCCCAGGCCCCGCCATCCCCAGCCATGACACAGGGCCCCGGGCCCCGCTCCACCGCCCCTGCCTGAAACACAGGGCCCCGGGCCCCGCCCCGCCATCCCCAGCCACGGCACAGGGCCCCGGGCCCCGCCATCCCCAGCCACGGCACAGGGCCCCGGACCCCAGGCCCCGCCATCCCCAGCCACGGCACAGGGCCCCGGGCCCCGCTCCACCGCCCCTGCCTGAAACACAGGGCCCCGGGCCCCGCCCCGCCATCCCCAGCCATGGCACAGGGCCCCGGGCCCCAGGCCCCGCCATCCCCAGCCACGGCACAGGGCCCCGGGCCCCGCCATCCCCAGCCACGGCACAGGGCCCCGGGCCCCCGCCATCCCCAGCCACGGCACAGGGCCCCGGGCCCCCGCCATCCCCAGCCACGGCACAGGGCCCCGGGCCCCGGGCCCCCGCCATCCCCAGCCACGGCACAGGGCCCCGGGCCCCGGGCCCCCACCATCCCCAGCCACGGCACAGGGCCCCGGGCCCCGGGCCCCCACCATCCCCAGCCACGGCACAGGGCCCCGGGCCCCGGGCCCCCGCCATCCCCAGCCACGGCACAGGGCCCCGGGCCCCGGCCCCCACCATCCCCAGCCACGGCACAGGGCCCCGGGCCCCGGGCCCCCGCCATCCCCAGCCACGGCACAGGGCCCCGGGCCCCCGCCATCCCCAGCCACGGCACAGGGCCCCGGCCCCGGCCCCCACCATCCCCAGCCACGCACAGGGCCCCCCCCGCCCCCACCATCCCCAGCCACGGCACAGGGCCCCGGGCCCCCGCCATCCCCAGCCACGGCACAGGGCCCCGGGCCCCCGCCATCCCCAGCCACGGCACAGGGCCCCGGGCCCCCGCCATGCCCAGCCACGGCACAGGGCCCCGGGCCCTGGGCCCCGCTCCGCCATCCCCAGCCACGGCACAGGGCCCTGGGCCCCGCTCTGCTGCCCCTGCCTGAAACACAGGGCCCCGGGCCCCGCTCTGCCATCCCCTCCTACGGCACAGGGCCCTGGGCTCTGCTCCGCTGCCCCCAGCTCAGGGCCCTGGGCTTCGCTCTGCCCACAGCCCAGGCCATGGCACATGGCCTCGGGCCCTACTCTACAGGCGGGTCTTTTCTGTGTAGTTTTCAGGCCACTCCTACCAAAGAAAAAGCCTATAACCCTCTGGCTGTGGATGTTCCATCAGTGTCTGATGATGTTTCAGCACAATGGTGTGATGTTGCAGGCTCCTAAGGGCATGTCCTAACCAGCCCCAGCAGTGTAAACATACATAAGAACCACAATCACTCTACACATTCTCAACAAAAAAAAAAAATAAAAAAAAAAAAAATCAAAAATAAATAAATCTAACATAAAACAACCAAAAACCAAACCACTCTATCCCCCCAACCCCAACCAAAAAAAAAACAAAAAAAAAAAAAAAAAAAATTAAAAAAAAAACTCAAAAAAAAACCCAAAAAAAAAAAATTTTAAATAAAATAAATTTTAATATTTTATTTTTATAAAAAAAAAAAAAGAAATGATAATATAAAAATATTTTTTTTTTTTTTTTTTTTTTCTCTCCCCCCCACCCCCCCCCAATATTTTTTTTTTAATTTATTTTAAATTTTGAGAGGGGAATTTTAGATGAGTTATTACAGAGGAGAGTGGTTTGGGTGATGGGGGGGGGGGGGAAGTGAGAAACCTGGACTATCAGGAAACCCGACTTGATTATTAGAGTTGTCCTTTGGATGGGCTACCCAGCAGGAGAGTGAATTTGTGGGGGGGGGAGGGTGAGAACCTGGATTTGTGGAAGCCCACCTGTTGATCACTTTAGAAAGCTACCACAGGACAGGGGGGGAGGAGGTATTGTTTCATATTCTCGGAAGCCCGTTCCCGACACACGAGGGAGCCCCCCTCAATGTAGCCCCACGCCCTTCTCCAACACCGGCTGTTCCTCTGAAGTAAGAGGATGGGGGAAGTGTAAAAGATTGCTGTGAGCTGATGGGGGGAAGCCTGGGAATCTAGCTGCTCTCCAGTGCCTGTGCATGGCTACCCCCTCCCTCTCTCTAGTGTCTGGCTGAGGGCGAGTGCAGCCCCAGGCCCCTTCTCCATTGTGTTTGTATGAACAGAAATGATGGAGTGAAACCAAGCAGAGTGGAATGTAAGCTAACTACTTTGGTGTAGTCATCAACCTGTTCTATTAGTGTCTAATCCAGGCCAGGATTTAGACAGACCATCCGCAGTGACAAGGTGCATGCAAGTTGCTCCCTCTGCTGTCTGCAAGCTAGAAATAAGGGACCACAGAATCCCTTTGTGGCCAGCGCAGCGAATGAAGAGCCTGTCCCATCAGAGTGGAAATAGGGCATCCTTGGAACAGCTCACCGAGGGCCATGGTGGGTTCTCCGTCGCTGGCAATTTTTAAATCCAGACTGGATGTTTGTCTAAAAGCTCTGCTCTAGTTCCAAAGGAATTAATTCAGGGCAGGTCTCTGGCCTGTGTTATACAGGAGGTCAGACTAGAGATCACAGTGGTGCCTTCTGGCCTTGGAATCTCTGTGTCTATGGACATTACGCCCAAGTCCTGTTACTTCTCTGGCCGGAGAGCTGTCACTCATTTCAGGAACCAAATTCCCTGCCTTTGACACAGCTTTATGTCCGTTATGTTATCGCTGCACATTCCTGACATCAGAGATACAATTCATGCCACAAAGGTAACAGCTAGCCATTTATACCAAGTGGGGGTCCCACAGCATTTCCAGTCTCCTGCATGTACGCTCCTTTGGAATCTCTCGCTGTGGGTCTTTGTCCCACAGCCAGGCAGTGGCGCATTGTGAGGTGGGTCGTGAGGGGCACAACGCTTTGCAGGACAGTGAGGGAGACCCTCCTCTGGACCAGTGCTGCCAGCCTGACTGCCTGGGTTTCTGGTGCCACAGAAAGCTCTGTCATATGTCACCAATATTTCCTTTGCTTTCCAAACACGCAAATGAGCCCGGCTGGCAGGTTTTCCTGTCAGCAGAACGGGTTTGCTCTCTCATGGCTGGGATACCAAGTCCTCGCAGACAATGTTAGACATCACTTTGAGTCTCAGGGACTTCCACGTAGGGTTCCACCCCTGACAACAGTACTGGCCATCCCTCTTCTCCCTCAGTCTACCAGCTTTACCTGTAAACCACACAGCACTTGGGAGCACTTATAAAACAAAAATAGGTTTGTTTCACAACGCGCAGTCAGCTTGTGGAACTCGTTCCCATGGGATGCTGTGAAGGCCAAAACTGTAACAGGGCTCAAAAAAGAACTAGATAAGTTCATGGAGAATAGGTCCATCAACGGCTGTTCGCTAAGACGGCCAGGGGCACAACCCCATGCTCTGGATGTCCCTAGCCTTTAACTGCCAGCAGCTGGGAGTGGACAGCAGGGGATGGATCACCCGATGATCGCCTGTTGCGTTTGCCTCTGAAGCACCTGGGATTGGCCACTGTCGGAAGATGAGCCATTGGTCTGACCCAGTACGGACGGTCTTATGTTCTTAACAAAGAATAGAGAGTTCACTAGAATTGAGAGACAGTGAGGGGGAAACAACTGGTTCCAGCACAAAATAATAAAATGCAAACCTGGGTCTGGGTCTACACTTATCAGTAGTTACCTTTGCTATCTAATAAAATAGGCTTTCCCCCCACAAAGACTAGTCCATGGCACAGCTGGCTGGTTTCACAAGCATCAGGATCCCATTATTCATGAAAGGCCCACCTGATCCTTAAAGGATTTCTTCAGTGAATGGATCCAGAATGCCTTTCCCTACACTCTGTTATACTGAAACAATCTTTTGTCTTTATTCATAGCCAGGGCACTCTCCTGCCTGCTGTATGAATCTTGATGAGTTATGCGTTTTCCATAGATACCTTTACATATTACTCTTTATGGATAAATATCCCATAAGACATGTTTGGTGTAGTGAGTTTGTCAGGTCTGAGAAAAGAGTTGTTTGCAAAGAACAGGGGACCTTTGTCAAGAGTTGCTGTGGCATGGCTCCCCCAGACATTGACACAGTCGGGCTAGCCACTGGCTATTCTGCAGGCATCCATTCTCGGCTCTCTTTTCTGGACAGGACAATTCCTGCTATGTTTTCTTTCCCCTTGAAGTGCACAATCTCATTTTCCTGCAGCACTATGCTCCAGCACAACTGCCTAGAGTTGGTACCTTTGGTCCTGTGCAACCACATCAACGGAGAGTGATCTGTTAACACCTTACAATTCTGGTGAACAGGTAACATTTTCACTGTTTGACTACCCACACAATCACGTAGCACTCCACCTCTGTGACAGAATCATTGTATTCAGTGGTGGTCAATATTTTGCTTAAGAATGCAGTGCGGTTGCTCTCCCCTGCTAGTATCAGAACTGTCCCCACATCCATTCACAGCTCAAACACTTTATTAAAATCAGGACTGGCCAGAACTGACTTTTTGGACAAGACCTTTATTTTATCAACACCCTTTTGACAGGTCTCAGACCAAACCACTTTGTCTAGATGATTCTTTTTACAGAGATCTGTGATAATTGATATATCACATCACTAAAACCTTCTACAAATCTGTGATACTAGCTTGGGGTATAGGCCAGTTGATAATAAATTCTACTTTTAGGGGATCAGGATGAATTTGCATCCCTGACCCAATGACCAAAATAAGGGACTTTAGCTGCTCCTGTTTTGCATTTTGATACCTGAGCCAGCAAACCTGCATCTTGTGAGTCTTTGCAACACAATGCCCACATGATTTTTGTGGTCTTGCCAAGTGCGGCTAAGAATGATGATCTCATCTACCTACGTGTGTGAACTCCTGTAGTCCACATAACATCTGGTTAAGTCAGTATCTCCTGGTAAGGGCCAAAGAGCTCAGGAATTTTGCACTGCTTAATACGTCTAGCGTGTCCTCAGAGTCTATGAGTCCTTGGCATAGGGTAAGGCACGGGTACTGTGACAGCATTAAGTTTTCTGTAGTCAACCCAAAGTCTTATAGGTCTATCCTTTTCGGTGGACCATGACAACGGGGGATGCCATGGGGCTACTAGGCTCTATAATTGCATGAAAACACCTGCTGGTGGTGTTTCAACACAGCCATGATTTCTAACCTTTCCCTTGGTATTAACCCTTCACATATATCAATGTTCTCCCCGTAGCTCTCCACCACCAAATCTATTAGAGAGGCTGTGATGCAGTCCTCCTCTTTACAACATATCATACTCTCAACAGCCTCACAGTTGTGATAAGCTTTTAGTCTATGTATGGGAACAGTCTATAGGGCAACCTCCCTGAGGGGCTTCTGCACATTATAAGTAACCTCATTAACCTGCTCCACAGCCTCCAAAGGTCCTTCCCAAGAATTTTGCATCTCATGCTGCTTTACTAGGAGTAACATCAGTACCAAGCCTCCCACATCAAATGCTCGTTCACAGGCATTTCCGTTGTACCACTCTTCTTGTGAAACCTGGATTTTGCTGTCCTACATTTATCATGAATTTTAAATCCGCTCTGAGCTTGGTTATGTATTCAGCTATGGGCTTCCCCTCTGGTTCAGAGCACTCTTCTAGGAGTCCCTAACAAGATCTAGGGAGCCTCTGCCCTGTCTCTCATAAAGGAGGTCAAACTGGGCAAATCCTGTGGACTCTTGGGGTACTTCCCTGTAAGCAAATAATAGCTAAGGCAATAACTCATCCCAAAATCCAGCTGTTTTGTCCATGTATATTCTTAGCATTGGACTTAAGAGTCCAGGGAACCTTTCCACTAGACTGTTTGTCTGGGGTGGCAAGAGGCAGACTAATTGTTTTACCCCATGCTTCTTCCTCGGTTGACTAAATATTAGGGTGTGACGGGACTGGGACTCACCACCACAGCACCTCCTGCTGTTCACTCTGGGAATTAGCTCAGTTCATGCGGAGCACCCCCTGCCGGAGGTGTCCCATCCGTCTCTCACCCTCAATTGGCATCTTGACCCGCGTTGCTCCCAGTGTCCTCTTCAGGACACTGCCCTCCAGCAGTGCCCCCAAGTCCACACTCACCCCCTTCCGGGGTGCGTGTGTGTGTTTAACAGCAGTCTTTCCAGTTCGCTCCTGCCGCAGTGGCCAACCACAACCCCTCAAGTCTAGCCCCTCTGTTCAAGGGCTGGTTGCAGTCTGTCATGGCCACCCTTCCATGGCCAGGTGCTGTACAAGGAGGAAGATATTGAACAGAATCAGACCAAGGCAGATGCCTGTGGGACCCCACCCGCTATGCCCTTCCAGCTTGATTGCGAACCATTGATAACTATTCTCCGATTAAGCTTTTCAAACCAGTCCTGCACCCTCTTTATAGGAGGTTTGTGTAGACTATATGTCTTTAGTTTATTTATGAGAAGGTCATGTGAGACAGTATCAAAAGACTTACTAAAGTCAAGATATACTGCATCTACTGCTTCTCCCCATCCACAAGGCTTGTTACTCTGTTGAAGAAGGATATTGGATTGGTTTGACTTGATTGGTTCTTAACAAATCCATGTTGGCTGTTACTTGTCACCTTATTTTCTTCTAGCTGTTTGCAAATTGATTGCTTGATTCTTTGCTCCATTATTTTTCTGGATACTGAAATTAAGAAGACTGGTCTATAATTCCCTGGGTTGTCCTTATTCCCCTTTTTATAGATAGGGACTATATTTGCCCTTTTCCAGTCCTCCGGGATCTCTCCCATCCTCCATGTGTTCTCAAAGCTCATTGCTAATGGCTCAGACATTTCTTCAGCTAATTCCTTAAGTATTCAAGGATGTGTTTAATCAGACCCTGCCTATTTGAAGACATCCAACTTGTCTAAGTAATTCTTAACTTGTTCTTTTCCTATTTTAGTCTCAGATCCTACCTCATTTACACTGATGTTCACTATCTTAGTTGTCCAATCACTGCTAACTTTTTGGGGAAAACTGAAACAAAAAAGGCATTTAACATTTTGGCCACTGCTTCATTTTCTGTTATTGTCTTTCCCTCCTCATTGAGTAATGGGACCTACCCTGTCTTCCTCTTGCTTCTAAGGTATTTGTAAAATGTTTTCTTGTTACCCTTTAGTCCCTAGCTAGTTTAATCTCATTTTGTGCCTTGGTCTTTCTAATTTTGTCCCTACATCCATGTGTTGTTTTTTATATTCATCCTTCATAATTTGACCTAGTTTCCACTTTTTGTATGACTCTTTTTTTGAGTTTCAGGTTGTTGAAGATCTCCTGTTTAAGCCAGGGTGGGCTCGTACCAAACTTCCTAGGCATCAGGATAGTTTGCTAATGTGCACTTAATAATATCTCTTTAAAAAACTGAACCTTTTTTCCCCCTTAGACCTGCTTTCTCTGGGATTCTACCTACCAATTCTCTGAGTTTTCTACCATCTGCCTTCTTGACGTCCATTGTCTTTACTCTGCTGTTTTTCCTCCTACCGTTCCTTAGAATCGTGAGCTCCATCATTTCATGATCACTTTCACCTAAGCAGCCTTTCACTTTCAAATTCTCAACCAGTGTTTTCCTGTTTGTCAGAATCAAATCTAGATACCTGGGAAGCTACTAGAGCAATGTATAAAACATTCAATTTGCAAATACTTGGAGGATGAGGGGTGATCATTAGCAGCCAGCATGGATTTACCAAGAACAAATTGTGCCAAACCAGCTTGATTTCTTCTTTGACAGAGTAACTGGATTGGTGTATAGGGGGAATGTGGTGGACAAGACTTTTGACACAGTCTGACATGACATTCTGATAAGTAAGCTGGAGAAATGGGGGCTCGGCAGAACTACCATTAAGTAGATACATTGGTTAAACAACCACAAACAAAGAGTAACTAGTAATGGAATGATGTTGGATTGGAGGGAGGTCTCAAGTGGGGTTCCACAGGGATCTGTTCTGGTCCAGTGCTATTTAACATCTTTATTAATGATCTGGATGTAGGTCTAGAGAGCACACTGATCAAATTGGCAGATGACTCAAAGCTAGGGGGGTTGCCAACACTTTGGAGGATAGAGCTACAATTCAGAGGGATCTTGCTAAATTGGAGAACTGGGCTATAGACAACACAATGAAATTCAACAAAGACAAATGTCAGGTGCTACACTTAGGGAAGAAAAAGCAAATGCACCTATACAGAATGGGGGAGAACTGGCTTGGCAGCAGCACTGCTGAGAAGGCTCTGGGAGCGGTGGTGGATCACAACCTCAACATGAGTCAGCAACGCAATGCTGTTGCGAAAAAGCAAATGCAATTTTAGGTTGTTTTAACAGAGGCATAGCTTGGAAGTCACGGGAGATGATAGTATCACTACTCAGCACTGGTTAGGCCTCAGCTGGAGTACTGTGTCCAATTTTGGTCACCAATGTATAGAAAGAATGTAGAGAAACTGGAAAGGATCCAGAGGGGAGCAACAAAGATGATCAGAGGGATGGAATGCATGCCATATGAGCAAAGGCTGAAGGAGCTGGATATGCTTAGTTTCAAAAAGAGGTGATTAAGGGGGAACATGAGAGCAGTCTTCAAATACTTGAAAACCTGCCACAAAAAAGATGTAGAAAAGTTATTCTTTTTTGCCACAGAGGGCAGGACTACAGCATAGCAAATTTAGATTAAATTTTAGGAAAAGCTTTGTAACTGTAAGAACAATAGGACAATGGTACAGACGCCTAGGGAGGTTGTGGAAGCTCCTTCACTGGAGGTTTTCATAAGGAAGCTGGAGCCATCTGCCTTGGATGGTTTAGTCACAACAAATCATGCATCTTGGCAGGGGGCTAGACTTGATGACCATTACAGTCCCTTCTAACCCTGTGGTTCTATGATTCTAGAACAGCCTCTCCCCAGTCACGTTCTCTACCTTCTGTAATGAAAAAGTGGTCTCCAATGCATTCCAAGAACTTGTGGGATGATCTGTGCCCTGCCGTGTTATTTTCCCAACAGATGTCTGGGTAATTCAAGTCCCCCCGTCACTACTGAGTCCTGCGTCTTGGATGATTTTGTTAGTTTAAAAAAAGCCTCCTCTGCCTCTTCTTCCTAGTTCGGGGTCTATAGGAGACCTACCTTGACTTCACCCTTGGGTTTTTACCCCTTTTATCCTTACCCAGACTTTCAACAGGTCTGTCTCCACTTCTGTCTCAGCCTCAATGTAAGTGTATACACCTTTGATATACAAGGCAACAAACACCGCCTCCCTTTTTCTCCCTGCTGCTCTTCCTGAACAAGCTGTGCCCTTCTACACCAATATTTCAGTCCTG